CCCCTGCCAAGAAGCAGGAAAATTGCATTCAAAGCACCCCTGACAGATGGCCATCCAGCCTCTATTTAAAACAGTGGTTCGCAACTTTCCTAAGGTCGTGGCCCGTTAATATAGTTCTTCCTGTTGTGGTGACCCCCAACCATCCAATTATTTTCCTTGCTACTTCTTAACTGTAATTTACAGCTGTTATGAATTGTAATGTAGGGAAGACAGTTCCATCTTGTCTTTACTAATAATATTATATAGTAAATTGTATATACATATAATATTTATAATATTATAATGTAATACAATATAATACTAGTTATAATAATACAACACTATAATTATAATTATATATTTACATTACATGTAATATTACTAATAATATTACAATATTATGGTATAGTGCAATAGAGTAATATATAATACTGATATTGTACTATGCTTATAATATAATATATTGTATGAAAATATATCTTGTAAACCGCTCTGAGTCCCCTTCGGGGTGAGAAGGGCGGCATAAAATGCTGTAAGTAAGTAAATAAATAAATAAATAAATAATGTAAATATCTGATATGCAGGATGTATTTTTATTCACTGGACCAAATTTGGCACAAATACCCCATATACCCAAATTTGAATACTGATGGCGTTGGGGAGGATTGATTTTGTCATTTGGAAGTTGTAATTGATGGGATTTATAGTTCACCTCCAATCAAAGAGCATTCTGAACTCCACCAACAATGGAATTGAACCAAACTTGGAACACAGAACTCCCATGACCAGCAGGAAATATTGGCAGGTTATGGTAGGCATTGACCTTGAGTTTTGGAGTTGTAGTTCGCCTACATCCAGAGAGCATTGTGGGCTCAAACAATGATGGATCTAGACCAAACTTGGCATGAATACTCAATATGCCCAAATGTGAACACTGGTGGAGTTTGGAGAAAACTGACTTGACATTTGGTTGTTATGGTTGCTGGGATTTATAGTTCACCTACCTTCAAAAAGCATTCTGAACCCCACCAACGATAGAATTGGTCCAAACTTCCCACACAGAACTCCCATGACCAACGGAAAATACTGTGTTTTCTGATGCTCTTTGGCGACCCCTCTGACGCCCCCTCGTGAGCTCCACAGGGGTCCCGACCTCCAGGTTGAGAAACACTGATTTAATAGCTTCCAAAGAAGGAGCCTCCACCACACTCTGGGGCAGAGAGTTCCACTGCTGAACGGCTCTCACAGTCAGGAAGTTCTTCCTAATGTTCAGGTGGAATCTCCTTTCTTGTAGTTTGAAGCCATTGTTCCGCATCTTAGTCTCCAGGGAAGGAGAAAACAAGCTTGCTCCCTCCTCCCTATGACTTTCTCTCACATATTTATACATGGCTATCAGGTCTCCTCTCAGTCTTCTCTTCTTCAGGCTAAACATGCCCATCTCTTTAAGCCACTCCTCATAGGGCTTGGTCTCCAGACTCTTGATCATTTTAATCGCCTTCCTCTGGAAACATTACAGCTTCTCAACATGGTGATCCTGGAACCAAACTGTAGTGGGTACAAGAGCCCAATGTATGCACACACTCTAAGCACAAAATATCATTTATGTTTCATATACTGCTTACACACAGTGCCTCGAAGTTATTTTGTACAATATTTTGATGCCTCTGAAACAAAATGTGTGTACATCGAACAATTATAAAGCACTCATATGGTTGATTTTGGAGTATTTTGAAATTCAAAACAGCTTAACAGTTCTTTAGAAAGTTCTTTTAGAGTGGTGATTCTTATATGATGTAGGGGCTAAGGTTGAATACATTTAACAGTTGTGTAAAAGAAAGAGCCAGTTTGGTGTATTGGTTTGAACATTGGATTATGGGTCTGGAGACCAGGATTCAGATCCCTGTTCAGTCATGAAATCAACTGGATGACCTTGGGCAAGGCACACTCTTCTGCCTCAGGAGGAGAGAAAGGCAATCTTCTGAGCAAATCTTGCTAGGAAAACTCTGGGATAGAATTGCCTTGGGTCAGAAGCAGGAGAACAGGAGGAATTTCAGCAGGTTTTTGCTTCGTATCTGGTTGTGTGTGAGACAACACCCGCTGAAAGCTGGCTTAGAAGAGTAAATTAAGGTCTTACAGATATCTGAAACATTTATATATTGTAATTGTGTCTTCTTTGTTTAAGAAAACCCTCTGTGATGTCATTCTCATGGTCCAGGAAAGAAAAATCCCAGCTCATCGTGTTGTCCTTGCTTCAGCCAGTCACTTCTTCAACTTAATGTTTACCAGTAAGTCTTCTTAATCAACTTTCTAGTAGGTTTTAAAAAAGATGCCATGTACTGACACAAGCCTTCGAGGAAGAAAATAATCGGTTTCAAAAATTTTGTTCATCAGTCTACAACCAAACTTTTCTTTCATTGTGTTACTAAACCAGTATTCAGACTAAGTGTAAATTGGTAGCACAGAGTGGTTGAATGTCTAACTGCTGAACTTTTTAGAATGGATGTTGAGGCATAAATTGAATCAAGAGACAGATTCAGCACCCAAAATCCTCCATGGACAAAGTGATGCCAGAGAGCATTGCTGAATTATTGATGTCGTCAGATCCCTGGCTTAAGTGCCAATGGAAGTGTTTCCATTTATTGTTTTGGCTAAGGAACTGGCCCTGTTCCCTTCCACACTTTTCCTGCTGATTTTTTTTCTTCAGCTAAATTCTTAGAGCAAGCAAAGAGTTGTAATTGACGGCAAATTCTATATATCTAATTGCAGCAAATATGATTGAATCAAAATCTTTTGAAGTGGAATTAAAAGATGCTGAGCCTGACATTATTGAGCAGCTTGTGGAATTTGCTTATACTGCAAGGTAGGTTTGTTTATAATACCTAAATATTAAGGTCTTAATATCTGTCAGTTGCAGAAAAATAAAAATCATTTGATTATCAGTTTAAAATTTTATCAGCCCAGTATTAGATCTCAGCATGAGTTTTATTTGCAACATACTATATGCTACATATTAAAATAGGTGAACAATACAGTGCCTAGACAGGGAGTCCTGTGTGCGTATTTGCATGTGTGGCTTGAGGCCCACCAGACAAGACTGGAGAGGCTGAGTTGCCAGAAATGATCAGACAGATTGGACTTCTAAGACTCCTGTGTAATTGGGTCTCTGTGGGGATTATCAATCAGAGCATAATAAAATATTAAGACAGCTATTGTAGTTAAGCTCTCTCAGGAATAAGTAAGGCTGCATATCATCTCTCCTGTGTACACTTACTTGAAAGTGAGCTACACTGAAGCTCTAAATAGATATTGGACTTATAAGAGGCTTTATATTTAATGATGATTGAATAACAATGAATGGGAGATGTGGTTTGCTTTCTCACTGATCCCTACAACTGAATCTTTGCACCTAGAGCTTCGACAGACATAGATATGTTGGCATATTGGTTTATGTATATTATGTGCGATTCTGTATCACCTAACCTCCCAGATTTTGATTTTAAAGTAGTGTAGGGATGGATGTGATTGAGCTCATAAGCACTTTTGCTTTCACTCAGTAGGGTCTTTAACCTTCCCCCACATCCTTCAGCTTGAAGTATTAAATGTATTTTCATTCACTCAGATTTGTAATATTTCATTAATTTTTCCATTGTTTTCTTGGTAGTATATTGTATCCTGCTTCTGTTGGTGATAGTTGGTTTTATTACAGTGGCGTTTAATGTTTTTAATTGTTTTGTGAAAAAATGTACCCACATGTAGGCAAACCCCATAGTTCCAGGTTCTATTAAAATTGTTCCAGAGGTTCCGCTACTGCAGTTAAGAATAAATACTTAACATATGTTAGCATAACACTGATCTGGACACAATTAATACCAATTCTTGTTGAATTGTTTCCTTTTTGATAAAATTGTCTTGTTTGTTTCAGAATTTCTGTAAACAGCAACAACGTCCAGTCATTGTTAGATGCAGCAAATCAATATCAAATTGAACCTGTGAAAAAAATGTGTGTGGACTTCTTGAAAGAGCAAGTTGATGCTTCAAATTGTCTTGGTGAGGCAGTTTACTGTTATCATCAATGTATCGCTTCTAAATACATTTTGTTTGGGGTTACAGTATTTTAATATGTTTATAGTTATGCATGTCAAATCTCATATATCCAGAGAAAAACACCCCATCAAGCTCTGGAAACAGTTGTGTCATGAATGTTTCAAAGCATTGATGTGGAGATACGTTTATCTAGCCCTGTTTAAACCTAATAGAGTCTCTAAATTGGTCCACTGTATTATAAAGAAAGCAGGGAACTGCTTGTGTAAGAAGTTATTGGTTACTTCCCTTCATAGGCTAGTTAAAAAGACAGCATCTTAGATACTTGCTGCTTCCCTACATAACCTTGTAAAATCACAGCTGCTGGCACAACTAGAAATTATGCTGGCCTCTCTTTAATACACTATAATTAAATGTAAAGCAGGCCAATTTTATCTTCTTTTCTGTTTGACCTGTTTTTTAATAAGTCACTGGGATAGAAAGCCTGAGTTACTATCCCCTTATTATAGTGTCTCACAATTGTTGGGATTAGGAAAGCAAAAAATTGGTCCATTTTTGCTCTTGTGTACATAATGAAACAGAGTCCTCTTCATTCTGTGACTAGTGGAGTGCCGCAGGGTTCAGTCCTGGGCCCAGTACTGTTCAATATTTTTATTAATGACTTGGATGAAGATTTAGAAGGCATACTTATCAAGTTTGCAGATGACACCAAATTAGGAGGGATAGTTAATACTCCAGAGGACAGAATCAAAATTCAAAATGACCTTAACAGATTAGAAAGCTGGGCCAAAACTAACAAAATGAAGGTCTAGACTATGCCCTATGAGGAGCATCTTAGGAAGCGGGTGTGTTTAGTCTGCAAAAGAGAACATTGAGAGGAGACATTATAGCCATGTATAAATATGTGAAAGGGTGTCATAAGGAAGAGGGAGCCGGCTTGTTTTCTGCTGCCTTGGAGACTAAGACTCGGAGCAATGAGTTCAAATTACAGGAAAGGAGATTCCACCTGAACATTAGGAAGAGTTTTCTGATGGTATGGGCTATTAAGGAGTGGAATTCTGCCTTGTAGTGTGATGGAATCTCCTTCCTTGGAAGATTTTAAACAGAGGCTGGATGGCCATCTGTCAGGGGTACTTTGTGCTTTTCTTGCATGGCAGGGGGTTGGATTGGATGGCCCATGTGGTCTCCTTCAACTCTGTTATTCTATGATTCTATGAGTCTTATGGCATTTCATAGAGTAGCAATTTTGATTTGGAATAAGCCTTCATACATTGCAGTACACCTCATGGTGTGCATGGGATGTAGTTTCAGTTGATAGAAGTCGATGGGGATCGGGTTAATGTCAGTTTAAAAGGCATCATCATAACAACATGTTTAAGAATTAGCAGGTGTTGAAAGGTGAAAAGTATATCCTAGCATAGATGAATATGTGTGGTGATTAATAGTTTATTACCAGTCTTGTTTAGGCGATAGAGTTTAATGTCTCATTAAGACCGGAGGAAATAGAATTGCAAAAGTGAGTCAAGAAAATTGTCTAAGTAGTGGTCAATGAAGCAAATCTATATCCATGACCAAGTAAATACATATGGAGATAAGAAGCTGTAATCTCTAATCAAACTTCAGAAGATAAAGTTCAGCTGCCTTTATTATATTTCTCAACAATTGTTAACTGACTCTTAAAATTACTACCTGCTGTAACCCTCTGTGTTTGCATTCTTGAGTATATATAACAGCCAATTGAAGTTACATTCCATGCATATGATAAAAGGGGCTGGAATGTGTAAAAATGTATGTCAAATAATGTAGAATAAAACTGAAACAGACTGTGGCTACATTGATATCTATCATGTTATTAAAGTGCCATAAGTGATAGCTGTACTATAGGTGGACCATAGCAACAAGGTAGAAAATGTCTGTGGGTTGCCTATATGATGAACATAATCTTCTTTCCTTGTTCGGGAGAGAAAATATCGTACTCTGGCTTTGTCTCCCATTGCTCCAGAAAGTGCCTTAGTTTTGCTCAGATTGTTATGCTGGTGAAAATTATGCAGTAACCTTGGTGGTATTCCAACCTATTACTGCTGTCTCAACGATATTTTTTAAAATTTAAATATCAACCTAGTGCTGCTTCTCCTATATATCTATAACAGCATACATTGCAAATTAACAATTTTCATCCTGCACTAGGAATAAGTGTGTTAGCTGAATGTCTTGATTGTCCGGAACTGAAGGCAACTGCAGATGATTTTATCCATCAGCACTTTACAGAGGTTTACAAAACAGATGAATTTCTGCAGCTAGATGTGAAACGTGTGACACATCTCCTGAACCAGGATACACTTACTGTGAGAGCAGAAGATCAGGTAAGAATCCATCGATTTCAGTTTTATGCTTATAGTTTAGAAAAGGAATGAGGTTCTTTAGGAGTATTACTGTAACACATATCTAAGCTGCATGAAATATTTCATATGGAGGCTAGAATGCAAGAAAATATATAAACAAATTTGGTACCCCCATTGAGGTCTCTTATTTCTTATTCTCTTTCTTTTGAGCTACTAGGAGAGGCAGGTATTATTATTATTATTATTATTATTATTATTATTATTATTATTATATTCTTGTATTGTTTTGAAGATCAGTAAAGTAAAAACAATGTGACACGAGAAGCTGTAGTTCATAAAAAATAATAAACAAGAACTTGAGCATGTTTGTGAATATATATGTTTGCACCTGTGAAATGCTGAATCAAAGTTTACGGATCAAGTGTGTGGCATGATTTATTCTTAGTAGCTGAAGTTAAATAATCCAGATTTGTATTGTGGTGCTTGCTACAATGAATATTGTTTAGCTCTGGTTATCTGGGATATATTACTATATTTAGTTGTTCAGAGAAGTTCTTTAAATTTCTCAGTGAAAAGAAGAGTTGGAACTATTCTGATATTGTTCAGTGCATGGGCTGGGAGGTGAGGACTAAATATTTTTAGTAACTGAAAATGGTATGACTAAATTTTAAATGTAGCTCATAGGTCATGTCTCACAACTTTTTTGAGCCCTGTCCTTGAGGCATTTTTTTGCCCAGATGCTCAAGACCTTCCTTAAAACATGGTGGTTTTGTTGCCAAAAATCCCAACTGCACAGTTACCCATAGCCTTAATAAAAATTAGTGTCAACCCTTGAATTATTTCAAGACAATTTGCATAAATGCATTCGCTGTGTAACCATCATTGTTTGTAAATTAGTTGTTAATATTTTTAGTTGTGGCTCAGCTGGGTTATGACTGACATTGTCAATGATGGGACTTTCAGGTAAAGCAGCTGTTCCTATTATTATTACTATTATTACTATTATTATTATTATTTATATGTATTTATTTATACTCCACTTTATCTCCCCAAAGGGGACTCAAACTGGCTTGACATAATAGCATTAGTATAAAATTTAAGATATACAATATGCAAACATTAAATCAGAATTAAACACACACAGCACTAAAAAATTCAGTTTAAATCCATCAAAACATATTCAAAGTTAAAAACTACTGCAGCCCTTGAATTAATATTTAAAACTTCCTTTAAAAGCCTGTCTTAGTAAAAAAAGGTTTTATCCTGCCCTCAGAAGGACAGCAGGGACGGAGCCATTCTGGCTTCCCTGGGCAGAGAGTTCCAGAGTTGTGGGGCAGACACAGAGAAGCTCCATTCTCTTTTCCCCACCAACCGATCTTGAGATGGAGGTGGGACTGAGAGAAGGGCCTCTCCTGAAAATCTCAGGGCCTGGCAAGTTCGTCTAAGGGGATGCTGTCAGCCAAATAGCCTGGACCCGAACCGTTTAGGGCTTTAAAGCTCATAACCAGCACTTTGAATTGCAAAAACAGACTGGCAGCCAGTGGAGCTTCTGCAACAGGAGGTTGTTCTCTCCCTGTAGCCATACCAACTGGTTTTCTTGTTTCTCATACAAACTTCTTCTTCCAGGTTTATGATGCTGCTGTCAGGTGGCTGAAATACGATGAACCAAACCGTCAGCCCTACATGGTTGACATTCTAGCAAAAGTCAGGTTTCCATTAATTTCAAAGAATTTCCTCAGTAAAACCGTACAGGCTGAGCCACTTATCCAGGACAATCCAGAATGTCTCAAAATGGTTATTAGTAAGTTTTGCAAGATTTATTTTAAGATACTGTATAACGTTCTTTTAGAATATTATCATCCTATGTTTTTGCTAAGATTGGGACCCAAAATCACTCGCAGGTTAAACATGATAGAAATGTTCCATTTCAGAATATTGGATGCTGTTTCAATTGGTCAAGAAGCTGAACTGAATCAAAATTGTCTGGACAACTTTAATGTTCTATTTCTTGAGGTTTAATACTTTTTGAGGGGAGCATCTTCTGATCCTAAAACAACATCATGAGGATATGGCAAAATTGTCCCCTATGGCCACTAGAGAATATGGGGAATATTTAGCAGAAGCCACTATGGTGATCATAGGGATATGTGGAAAGCCTTAGAAATAGCCTTGGAGATTTTATCCGTCCACTCTCTTAACATTGTCCCTCCTCTCAATACATGGTGGGTGACAAATTTGAAAGTATTGAATACACTTCATGAAATCCCTTGAAAATTTAAAGTTATGGATAAAGGGACACATTTCCATCTCGTAATCTTGGCTTGAACCATCTGTGGTATGCTATAAGTGCTGGGCTCTTATGAATGCATATGGATATCTATGTTTTTCCAACATGCTTGATGACGTGGCTTTCATATGATTACCATCTGAGATATTTATTCCATGACAGCTAGTTTGTATCACTCTTGTACATACATATCAGTTACGTACTGAAAAATATATTTCTAAAAGGTACCGAATGCCGTATGAAACTGTTGTGACATTTTTGTTGTATTTGATAGACTGTACATATCTTTTAATGAATAGAAAGTAGTAATTATTCCTTGTTTTTCCTTGTCTTATTGTTCATCCATACCTTGGGAATAGATTTCCCTTTGAGCTACACAGAATTAATGTGTGCTTCCTTGTGCAAAGGGGTTGCCCCACTTCAAAGAAAAGGGTTTCAGGAGAGAGAAGTTACGATTTATTATTTATTATTC